ATTAAGATAAGAAATCAGTATGGTCTGGACTTTTTTCCTCGGGAGATTGTTCATAAAAATGAGATTTAACAATTAAATGTAAATCACATGCATATATAATCTATTGTATAACTTAAATTGAATCCAGTTCACGTATAAAACAGTCCTAAAATAATTAGCACACTATGATACAATGTTATATTAACAACAAATTTTTTTTACTAAAAGTCTCAAATATCCATGACGTATATATGAGGGATATTTTACCATATTTGTATCTCATATCTAATCATTAAAGTTAATTTGAGTAAGAATATTTTTGATAATAGAATTATTTTGAACTTAGTTAACAATTTGAGATTTTTTTAACAATAAAAGTGAAATATTTTGCGAACTTAGTTGTTTATTTTCTCATAATTAAAAATTGCTATATTTTAGCAATTGTTGCCATTGACTTTTCATTTCCAGACTAATTTTTATCAATATAAAATTAGTTTTATTAATAATAATTGAAGTTCCATTGATCCGAGGATTGACATTCTATTGCTGTTATTTTATATGTAAATATTTAACCTAAGTAACAAAATAAATAATAGCTACTTAAAAAAAGTAAAGAGGTGCTCAATTGATTGTGGTGTAAAATATTAGTATACAATTAACTAGAGCTTAAAATGGAATGAAATTTATTAAGTATTTTACTGCTAACGACTTTGACACCATTTAATGGTTAAAGAAAAAATAAAAGGGACATGGAGATTGGGATTGGTTCCTTGGTGTGAAAAAGGAGAGTTCCTCTAAAGTAATGATGCGTCCAATTTTTGATGCATATGAAATTAGAAATGTGAAAGCTTTGCAGTTCATTCTCATTCATGATGAATTTCTTCGATTCTACATAGAATCGCAATTTTTTTCATTTAGCACAAAAATATTCTCTTTTTGTCATATTGATGGCTTTTGCTCTTAAGATTATCTACATGTCGGTGGTTAGTATTATTGATGAAGTTAAAGGTCATGGAAAATGTTACTAATTTCAGGAGAAATTATGTATTGTAAAATGGTTTAATAATTTTCTACTAAACATAACTACTGCATACAAAAGGAAAAGATATTTGATTTGATTTTACTTTGATTAGAATAACTTGTACCAGTAATAAAGAAAATAGTGATAGTGGTGTAAATTTTAAATCAACAATCAATGTACACATGATTGCAGTAAATTTTTAGTTGATTAGATTAATATATGACATAAAGTAGTAAGATTTAGTCATTTGTGAATTAACAATTTTAGCAGTTTACATAACATTCACCTATAAAAAATTATGATTATTATCAAATGACGTTTTATAACAATTTACATACCATTTGCCAATAAAAAAGGAGTTTGATAGAAAAAATATGCATACAAATCCATAATGTAAATGATACAAAGCATATTTGAAAGTCACAGAACTTAACAAATGGGTAAATTTATTATAATTTTCAAAGATAATGCTACGTTAATGCAACTTTAATTTTTATACTTGTGACCCAAAAAAATAAATTTATTAAAACTTTACCATTTTATTAAATTCATAGGAATTAATATATGAAAATTATGATGTATAAGTAAGTGCTATATACAACTCAGAAGATTTGTTGTTATTGTAATACAACTTTACTTTTTATAGTTGTGACCCAAAAAAATAAATTTATTAAAACTTTACCATTTTATTATATTCATAGGTATTAATATATGGAAATTGTGATGTATAGATAAATGCAATTCTATATATAACTCAAAAAATTTGTTGTTATTGTAATCCAAACTTTCTAACCTTTCACAAATTCAAAAATAATTAAGAATTTATAGTATGACGCATTATTCTTACATATTTTATAAGTTCATGTGCAAAAAAAAATAGTTTTCATAATATATTTAAAATGCTTAAAACATATAACATTTATAAATGATATGTATAATTGTGTATCATACATTTACATTACGAGTAATTACTAACTATAATACTAAGTTTCAATCATTAATAAAAAAAATTTTAGCATTATTTCAAATAAACTTTCTAATACTTGTTTCATATAAGTTTTTTTAAGTAAAATAGTAAATTTATACCACAAACTAGTAAATTTTGACCATTAACCAAATTCACTATTCTATCAACAAGATTTACTATTAATCTATAAAAACTTATTATTACTTGAGTTAAACTTACTCTCCAAAAAGTAAGTTTCGGATATAGAGTAGTAATTTATTTAAAAAAAAATAAGCTCCATATTTATTCCAATTTACTTTTTCAGACATAAAAGTTACTAATTTATTGAGTTAACTTATTATTTTTTATGTAAAACTTACTAACTAAATTTTTAGGTATTATCTTATTTAGGTGACCAGTCCAACAGGTAATCAAATGGCCATTAAAAATATTTTTACCTGTTATATTAGATAAAAACAGTTTTGTTACCATAACGATTGTTACTTCAGATTTTTCCTTAAATCTTTTTAATTTTTAACTTTTCCTAACCAAACATAGAAACTTAATCTTCAAAGGCGTTAGCAAACCAATGATTCTAGATTTACTCAAGAATCATAAAATTGGCATAATACTTATTTGTCAACATAAATAAGTATACCATCACTCGATATTAACTTAAATAAGTTGGTTACAATGTTATGCTCAGCTACACACACACACACAAACATGTTGTTATGCTCGTCTTTTCTATACATGGTTGGAAAACGTACTCGATTAACTGGTGATAAGTCATTTTATGCAAAACGTTTTTTTACTCCGTACAAACTTTGTAGTTCCCATAATTTTTAATGGCATTTGTAATCCGTGGTCCTCTTCTGAGTGAATCTCTTGGAGAGCGTGGTCCTGCCATGCATTGCAGATGGAGAGAGTTGGGTTCTTATTTTAATAAAAGTTTGGCTTTGTTGAAAACCGGTTTTCAAGCTTGGCTTGTTAAAAACTCGTTCTAGTTTAATTCATCAATTGTTGAAATTAAAATTGGACGATATTTTGTATTTGATAGCTTTCAAGTAAATAAATAAGTTAAATTTAAATAAAATTTTAAATTTTAAATAAGCAAATTTTTTGTTGGCTCATGTGCTTTTATATTTGATAGCTTTCAAGTAAATAAATAAGTCAAATGTTAGTACTGATGGACCTTATATTCATAGTATACGTCCATTACTGATAAGAGCATGTGCAGTGGAATGTCATGGGAGGTATACACGGAACCATTACACACATCATTCTACGAAGTAATGGTGGGCCCGACTGCAGTAATGGATAAATTTGGTTGAGGTTGACAACGGCAAAAATTTGGTGCAGCAAGTGAATCCGGTCATGGATCAGGATAGAATAGGTTATACAAATGTATCGTTACTCGAAAAAAAAAAAAAAGAAGTGAATCCGGCCATGGATTCACATCTCAATTCTCATCTTTCAACTGCAACAACTAGCATAGACTCAGTGAATCCGGCCATGGATTCGAAACCACGCTATCATTTTTATTTATTCACAGGAAAATAAGACAAACAAGAGCAATCAAGGAAGGGATGCGGATTTTAATGAGTTTCGACCTCTTGCATGACTTGAACACGAGCTACGGTGAACACATTGCTCAATAATCCAGCCGACTACGCATTCAATCCGATGTACAATCCACAATCCGGCCATGGATTAATATGAAATCCGGTCATGGATTCGAAACCAAGTTATGTAATCAGGTCATGAATTTGAAATTAAGCTATACAACCCAGCCACCGATTCCACGTTCGTATCATTTTTATTTATTCACAGGAAAATAATTGTGAGGAAAATAGTACTAGCATAAGAATGAAAACTAGTATCCATTATGTTATTGTTTGTATTTTATTTCATTTAAATTATGTAATATTATGTTATGGAGTTCAATTCATTACATAAAGAATAATTAAAATGTATGGATTATATGATATTTTCAAATGTATCACATATTTGTTTAATAATTACATAATTATTTTTCAGAAAATAACAATATATTATTTTTGAGAGATAGAAAAAGATATATTGTTCAAACTCAAAAATTGATAATATTAATTTTTAGAAAATAAAAAATCCAAAAGGTAAAAAATTTAATGAAAGTTAATAATTTATTTTTTAAAAATAGTGAAATTATTTTTAAAAAAATTAATTAATTTATTTATAGGATATGAGTTGTGCATTATTAAAATAAATGTTTTATTTGATTGTGGACCAATACTATTACACCTTGTGGAGTGTAATCTATTGTAAATAAGAGTATAATAAAAGAGAAAATATTGAAATGCTGACGTGGCTTGTGGATTACACTTTAAAGAGTGTAAATCGCCGTGAATACCTAAGGAGGTAGGGCTACAAACGAATCGAGTTGTTCGCGAGCCACTCTAGTCAAGCTCGAGATGGTCGAGTCGAATTCGAATTCAAAATATTAAGTTCGTTAGTTCGCGAGCGAGCTTGCAAGTTTGAGTATAATATATATATATATATATATATATTTTATTTTAATAATAAAATTACATATATATCCTTAATATTTTATTATTTATTAAAAAATATTATTTTATTTATTTTTCAAAAAATAGAATAATTATTTTCATTTTTTCGAGCTTTAGCTCGAGGTCAAACCTGAGTTCGAGTTTAATAAAACTAAATCAAAACTCGATTCGATTAGATAAAATTCGACTCGACTGGATTCGTTTGTATTGCAGGATGACTTTGATACGCAAATCATAACAGTGTGTGCTGTATCTTGTTGGGGGGGTTTGGGGTTAGTGTTTAAGTCTCCTCAAGAACCTCAAAAGTTGCCGGTTTTGTGGTTTCTGTGGATTAAGGGTTGAGTACTAACTTACAAAAGTCTTTGGACTTGGTAAAAAAAAAAAAAAAAACAAACAAACGTGTTTAACCCGAATGGCATGCATTTTTTACCCGAATCCAGTTTTGATTGGCGGGCAACCCAAAATTCAACTTTCTTATCTCGAGAGATTCGACCGGCCTAAACCGAAGTTCTAATTTCGGGTGGGTTGAAGGCTACATCAGCATTCAGCAAGAAACATTTCTCAAAATATTCTCCCCCTTTTGCTCTCATAAATCGGGTGGGGTTTCTCGTCATAACTGAAGAATCTGTAGGTCTTAGGCAGCGAGGAAGTGCGCCAAAGGTAAGAATCGCATATGACTTCTTCCCTCATCTCATTTGTTTTTGTTGATAATTTGTTATGCTGTTTTTTTTTTTCCCTTTTTTTTGGGTGATTTGGTTTTGGATATCCAGCTATAAGTTTCTGGGATCCACAAGCCTGCATAAATTTGCTTAGCTAAAATTTGATCCTGGCTCAGCTACTTGTGATTTGGGCGGGGGGATGGGGGTGGGGTAGCGGGGCGGGGGTAGAGACGAGGGATAAAGCTGGTAATGGCTGTCCATTTGCTCAAAGCTTACGCTACATTTCACAGTCACAATGGTAATAGTTGTTTTCTTCAACTATTCTGCACATAATTTTGGAACTGCAAATTGCACTCAAATTAGTTCAATTGTTGGTATAGAAATGCTGATTCTGATAGGTGAAAATTTTAAATGGATTTGGGATGCCGGTATGGTAGTTTTTTTAGGACATTATCAAGAAAAAAAAAAGTTCTAAAAGATCGAATCTTTACAAGTCCTGTATCTAAAAAGACTTGACTGATATCTTTGCTTATTATATGCCGTTAACTTCTGAATCTTTACTTTGTCATGATTGATATCTTTGTGCACTAAAGTCTAAGTAGCTTCGACTTTCAGTCATGGCAAAACTAATGCTATTTTTGGCTCAACCAGCATATCCCTTTAAATTCACTTCTGGGTCAGCTACTGGAATTTGAAAATTTGGAATTTATTTTGGATGCATTTGTATTTATTCTCAACAGTGGTGACGTACATTTTAAAGATGTTCAATGTCCTGTTCTGCAACTTTGAACTTCTTGAGCAATATGTTATCAATATACAGCTTAAGAAAAGAGAGAGAAGACATGGTCAAACAGTGTTTCATCCTTTCTGGTGTATAGAGACGTATCTTATTTACATAAAGGCCTTAACTATAATATGCATCTTATATAGGTAGTTTGCTGGAGACTTATCCAATTCAGACTGTCAGACATTATTATATTAGATTTAATTCTCTCCCCATCATTTTTTTTTCCTTGTATTTCCCCCTCCTTCTTAAGGATCTTTTAGTTTTACTGACTGTTCCCGAATATTTACAAGAGAGCATTGACTTCAATTGTTGTTTAATCCAGATAACCAAGGGGATTGACCATATCCACAAGAGGTATAACCTCCGTCCTCGTCCTACTCGCAAGAAAGTGGATTACAGTGTATCTTATTGCGTCGCAGAATCTAAGAGTTATACCTTATATCCTCATGCTAATGATCAGAGGAAACTGCTGAGGCCTTCAGTACCATATGTTTCACCAGAAATTATCTTCAATATTCTTGTGTACCTTCCTGCATACGTACTTTACAATGTGATGAGGTGTGTCTGTTGAGAGTGGTACAACATCATCTCTAGTACTACATTTATTGATGCACACCTCCAAAAGGTGAAGCGGGGCATCCTTATGAGGCAAAGTAGTCCAGAATACTATATACATTATCTCAAAATGGTAAAGCATGATCTTCTTCAGATCAATGAGGTAGACTCTTCTACTTTGCCAACATATACAATGTCTAGTTGTAATGGTTTGGTATTGATGGCTAAAAGTGAACAGGAAAATAGTTATGTTGCAAATTTAGTTACGAAGGAAGTTGTTACCATCCCTCCTCCTTTAGCTGCAGCTGAGGCGTTTGCCTGCTTTTCAAATATGGGATATACTTGTTCCAAGAAATATAAACTGGTTGAGTTCTACATTAATCATCAGGGGAATTTGGAAGGTGGGATAATCACGCTTGGTGTTGATAAAGAATGGAGGTGCCTTTGTCAACTGAATGGAACTTGGAAATTTAAGAAATTTGGATGCTTAGCTTTCAAAAAGCCAATTGCTAGTACTGATGCAATTTTGCATTGGACACATAGGGAGCTTCCATTGATTCTTAATTTAGATCTTGAAACTAAGAATTTCTACACATGCGCCACCCCAAAATGTTCCGAGATGAAACGAAGGAGGTATTTGAGAACTGGGCAGTCACTTTGTTTTATGGATCCCTTGGGGAAGTTTTCATGGGAGCTCTGGTTCTAAAAGATTCAGAAACTGGAGAATGGACTAAGATGGCCAATATTGATCTAGAGCATCATGAGCAAATGCTCTGCCGCGGTTTATGCTCTCCAGGATTTCAAATTGTGCCTGTTGGTCTCCTGGAAGATGGGGAGATTGTAGTCCTCTATGTTGCACATGAAGGTGGAATCCCACATGATAGTTATTATAGAAAGATGCATCCATCTAGAACCGTCATTACTTATAATGTGAAGACAGGAGTGATCAACATATTTCACTTGGACAAGGGTAGGCCTTTTCAAATGAATGAGACTTGGGGGTGTATTCTGCATGCCAAGACCTTGGTTTCTCCAAATTTTTCAGTTAGTTAGTTGCTCTCTCTCTCTCTCTTTTGAGGTTCAAAAAGAGGGGCAAAAAAAAAAAGGAAGTTAGTTTGAGATGGAAGAAGAGGGAAGGAAGATTGGTTAAAATTAGAGTAGGGATCTTTGTTGTGAGATGAGTCTTTCTTTCACCCTTAATTGATTGATGTCATGATCATGAAGGTTTATTTAATTTCATTGTTATTTATGGTTTCACTCTTACTATTATGTTGTGATCACGGGAGTATTTCATATATTTTTTTTGTTGGTATTTATAATTTTTTTTTTTGGTTTTATGGCAAAGTTGCTTCTTTCAGAATATTTTGCTTTACTGCTGCATAACTTTTGTTTCTTGATGTCATTCCCTTCTTTTTGTTAACTATAGAAATTCTCTTTCTTGGCTACGTAAATGAAAGAAGTTTCAGAGAAAATCTGTAGTAGTAGTAGTTGTAGAATAAGAAAAGAGAGAAGAATTGCAGAAACGAGAGAGATAGAGAGAGAAGTTGAGAGAAGGAAGGAGAGTGTAATTTGCATTCTCAATATCGATGATTACAACTGATACACTCAAAATCACATTCATGCAATTTCGGCTGTGAATTTCCTTCCTAATCAGCAGTGTAACTGCTCAGGAATGTGACTCACTGCTAACTAACTGTTTGAGAAGCCACATCAGCAGTTAGGCAGAATGAGCTCCAACTGTGATGATTATGATCAGATGATCATAACAGACCTGTTTGTAGAGAGGCTGTTTTGTCGTTAAAAAAAAAATTTTTTTTTTAGGCATTACAGTTTTGATCCGCTGCATGGACTTGCAAAAGCTGTGGGAACCATGTTACAACTGGCTTCCAAGAAGTTTATTTTTACTTCAGGGTATGATAAAATAGTGTGGATATGGAATAAGGAAGAAGGGTTGTGTATTGCATACTCTTGCCCTCTTGGCTGCTAAATTCATGCTCTTGCTGCTGATACAAGGCTCTTTGTAGCTGGGGGTACAGATGGATTTATACATAGATGGAGGGCAGAGGATGGAAATTCTTGTTTGACCTGAAGGCTCAAAGCCAAAACTTTGGAAAGCTGTCGTTGGTTGGGACCATAAAGGGCCAATTATGTGTCTTGCGTCAGATGTATTGCTTTTGGGGCTACCATATACTATCCTTGAGGGAAATAAATCTGCGTCAATTTGCTGGGGCAAACTCTGAGGCTACTTCTGTTACCCATCAGATCACCACTATTGTGTGCCAAGTTGTTGCAGGTTGGAGACAAAAATGAAGAGGAACTGGGGAGCTTACCACAACATGGAATTTTGATAAACAAATTTTCTGTTCTTGTTAAGGAGCTTGTAGAGAGATAGTTGGCTAGTTTTTTTGTACAGATAGGTGTTACACTATTCGTGCTGTCCAGATTGGTTCTGTTAGACATCATTCCCTGCTTATTCAATGAAAGGGTCATATTTGCCTAAAAGAACTTGCTGTTATGAACCATGCTCATGTTGGGTACTCTTAATTCTTTGGCACGAAGTCACGCTGGAAACCTTTTATTTGCAGGAAGAGAAGCTGCAACGAGTCGTCTGCAAGTGTTCAATGTTCTTTTGTGCAATTTTTTTGTGAACTGGGAATTCCAGTACTCTTTAGTCTCTCAATCTCGGTACACTTTGAAGTTTGAAACAAGAAAAAGGAGAGTCATATGAATATATAATTGTCCTCATTCTATAATATTTCAATTATTATCTACTGATGAAGACTTGAGAAATCGTATCAAAGCTCGCACATTGATTTAGAATTTGATGTTTAGTGATTTATATCTTTAGAATTTCACAAGTTGCAGCAATATATTTATTGTTTTAGTTAATGGCTCACAATTTGTTCACTACATTTTTTTTTTCCATTTATTGACAATCAAAAGGAACCAATACAAGAAACACCTGTATGTAAACAAATGAATTACAAAGAAAAAAAATGAAAGGAATGTATTCCAGAAAAAAAAAACCATTATTATGTAATAAAATACTCAATTTCTAAACTGAGTTGTTTTCTCATATTAATCTAACAAGAAATATAGCGTTTTGCACTGGGACTCCAAGTAACCTACTACACGTACTTAATAATACGAAAGTCACCATTTGATTATGCATATCTGGCCACTAATCTATTTGATTTAAAAGCTATCTTAATTTCTTAACGAGTGATCGATTCTCAAAAGGCATATTAATGAGTAGAGTTTAAATTGAATTTCCTTGACCTAGAGCTAGATTGATTAAAAATTGATTAAATTCAAAATCATGAAAAATCAGATTCACCTAAATCCATGATTCTCTTATAGAGTCTGGTTCTAGAATTTAAAAAAAAAAAAAAGGCGTAAACTCAAACCCATATAAAGTATGCTGATTCTGGATTGAACCCAAGCATTAGTTTGCCTTATTAACATCATCATGGAAACATATAGGGAAAATCGCCCAAAACGTCCCTCACATTTTGTAAAATGACTTTTTTCATCCCTCACTTTTAAAAGTGTAATTTTATGTCCCATATATATTCACATCGGTCAAATTTAGTCCCTAACTAGGTTTCCGATCATTTTTTGGCCAGAATCCATCACGTGCAAGGCATGTGATCATTTTTTAAGGGTAAATTTGTCAAATTATATTTTACATAATCTAATCTATAGTTCTCCACATTTTATAAAACAAATTTTTCGTCCTTCACATTTTATAAAATGATTTTTTCATCCCTCACATTTTATAAAATGAATTTCTTCATCCCTCACATTTCAAAAAATGAATATTTCCATCCCGCACTAATTATGTGTGTGAGGGAAACCCTAAAAAAAAATGTGTGTGAATACATTTTGTTTAAACACATGTATATGTCTATTTGATTTTGCTTAATAATACGAATAGCATAAATATATGTATGTGTCTATTTGATTTCACTTAACAATACGAATACCATATATTATACGTGATCATTTGATTTCATCTGGTATTAGCTAGTAAAAAATCTTGCATTTATTGTCAAGTTGGCCAATAAAGCTATTTTCAGTCAAAATACAATAAGAATATGCAAATTAAGGTTCTATTGGTAAATATTAGTCATAATCATACAAAAAGAGAAGATAGTCCACAAGTTGGGCCCAATTACATACATGTGTTTATGCTATTATTATTAAGCAAAATCAAATAGACATATACATGTGTTTAAAAAAAAGTATTCACACACATAATTAGTGAGAAATGAAAAATCCATTTTTTGAAATGTGAGGGATGAAAAAAATCATTTTATAAAATGTGAGGGACGAAAAAATTTATTTTATAAAATGTGGAGGACTATAGATCAGATTATGTAAAATATAATTTGACAAATTTACCCTTCAAAAATGATCACGTGCCTTGCACATGATGGATTCCGGCCAAAAAATGATTGGAAATCTAGTTAGGGACTAAATTTGATCGATGTGAATATGTAAAGGACATAAAATTACACTTTTAAAAATAAGGGATGAAAAAAGTTATTTTACAAAATATGAGGGACGTTTTGGACGATTTTCCCAAACATATTGATACGAGTAATTATATAGTGCGATTGGGATATGATTTCATTAATTAAATAATTATTAGTTTTACACACACACACGTGTGTCTCTATGTGTGTTTATATATATATATATATATATATATATATATATATATAAAGTAAATGATTTGATTACATTAACATAACTAGTATTCTATCCCAGCAACACTATAAAATTTCCCCGTCTGTGTCACATTAAATTGAATTAGTAAAAGAAAAGTTAAAATTATATCTTGAGAAAAAGCCACATATAAAATCTATCAAGGGGTATGTCAATGAGTCAGGTTTTATTCAGATTCAACCCAAACCTAATATATTTAGGTAGGATTTGGATTTAATTTCTCAAATCCAGATCCTATCCAAATTCAGACCATGTAAAAGAGTCATGAGTCTTAGTAAGATATAATTTTCTATTATTGGTATCCAAATTCAGAAATATACCAGATCCGTGTATATATATATATATACACAAATGCACATATACACATATCTATGTATGTATGTATATACATACATACACACACATATATATACACATATGCATATGTATATACATACATAGATATGTGTAAACTTTTCAAAAAAGTAGAAAAAGTGAAGGCAAATAGATAAAAGATTGGATGTGAATACAGTTGAAACTTTGAAAATAAATAAAAGTAGTCAGCAATATTTCTTTTTTTGAGTTCATAATATTGCATTCAACTTCATGAGTATTAATTTTATTATTTTGAAAATAAAAATTGGATGGCATTTGTATTATTTTTGAACTGTATATATTTTTAACATATTTTTTAATTTAGTATATTTAGAAAAGTATAATGAATACACATTGGATACTCAAATCCATGAGACTTTGGGTCTGGACTTATTTTTTTAGGCTCATAAGGGTTTGAGTCTAGATTTGGATCTAATGAAATTTAATGGATTTAATCTGGATCAAAGGAATCCAATCTAAACCCTATCTATTGACATGCCTATCTATTAGTGGATAACTAAATTAGATTAATTATTCTTTCCAATATTTATGAGTATCTGATTTTACTTTACCTGTTCTAAGCCTCCTACTAATTGTTAGTGCTTCACGAAATTTTATCAAAATTTACCTTACTTGTTCTTTCCAATATTAGATTAATTATTCTTTCCAATATTTATGAGTATCTGATTTTACTTTACCTGTTCTAAGCCTCCTACTAATTGTTAGTGCTTCACGAAATTCTATCAAAATTTACCTTACTTGTTCTTAGTAGGGGTGGCAATCAGGTCGGTCACGATTTAGCAGGTCGGGATGAGACACAGGTATTCCAGACAACTCGCCATTCCAAATTTGACTCGTTTATTTTATCAGGTCAGGTTTCTTGACCTGAACACGAATCGCAATGTTTGCGGGTCACCCGAACCTGACCTGTTTCAACTTGCCAATTTAATGATAAGTTGATCACCTAAAATAGAAGCACATAACTACTACTAATCATACTAATAACCTCCAATAATCAGCAATGTAAATTGCCCATCGAAATTCAGAAATCCATTCATTCAAATGAGAATCATACGCAAAAGGCAATCACCAAACATAATACAAATCCAAATGACTAAGACATAAAATGACATAACATAAGTTGACAAGCAGTAATCACAAGTCCAAACTCCCAATATCATCATCAAATTCAAATGGCTACAAGCCATGAAAGCTAAAAAGACATAAGATAATAACAAGTCCCATATCATCAATTCATCATCAAATCCCAATGGCTACAAGCCATAAACACTAAATAGCAACAAAATAGATATAAAACTGAAACATAATCACTGGTCTAAGTTTCAAGCTCAAATAGTGAATTGATACTTCTCTTCCAACTTCCAAACTTCACTAAATCAAGGGATGCAAGTACTTTTTAAGTACCCTGCAATGTAGACATCAAAGTATTAATGCCTAATGGTGATACATCTAAGTACAATAAAATATATTATACTATAACATTTAGCTCACCAAAGTCAATGACTTAGAGGTTGACCACATTAGAGTTTGAATCTTCAACAAATTGGACATCATCTTTTGATATGTTCAAAGACATGATGTCTTGAGTCATATCCTCCAGCCTCAAATCTGTCATCTCTGCGTTAACAACATAAGAAAAATAAAATGAGTATAGAATACTAAAGAAAAAACGTAGATATTAGAAAATATCAATTTACTAATTTTACCTTTCTCCCCAAACAACCAGTCTTTAGTACATACTAAAGCTTCAACTATTAGTGGTGACAATGAACTATGGAATTGGTCCAGAATCCTATCGCCAAGGCTAAAAGCAGATTTTGATACAACAGTTGATACAGGAACACATAAGATATTTCTAGCTAATTTTGCTAGATCTAAAAATCGATATCGTTGAGCCTTCCAATAGTCAAGAACATGAATCTCAGATTTTCTTTTACTTCTTGGCTCATGTAGATACATTTCCAATTGAGTTTTTTGTGCACCACTGATAAATTCAAAAGTATCAAAGTTATCAAATTCCTATTGAACATGACATTGAAAGAGAGATATATTAGACATGAAAATGAGAACAGAACATTTTAAAATCACATGGGAGTATATAAATTAATAAGTCAATACTACTAAAAAATATTATCATCACACCTTGAAAACATTTGCTGATTGGTTTCCTTGTACTTCTGCTGCATCAAAAGAGGTCTCATTCATCTCATTGCTACCTTGAGAACAAGAAGATAATGGCTGAGACATCTTACTAACTCTAACATATTCATTGAAAAGATTAAAAAGTGTATCCCTGACCTTTGTTAGTTCTGCAGACCCTGGACCATATAATTTTTTATAACTAAACTCAAGAATCTAAAATTTGTATCTAGAATCAAATACCACAGCAATGGCTAACAAAATATTGAACTCAGACCAATATTTGTTGAAATTCACAAACATCTGTTCAGCAATTTTCTTCATAAAGCCATTAGAACTGCGACACTCCTCAAACAACTTTAATTGAATCAGAAAAACTTGAGGAAAGTACAAGTTAGTAGTCAGGTACTTAGATCCTGAGAAGGCCATGGTTGCATCATAAAAAATTTGTTAAAAACTGCAAAATTTTTCAACTCTTTCCCATTCTTCTGAAGATGGACAGGATTGAAAATTGGAATCACTCAATTGTGAGTGACAAAAGGCAAGACAGTAATAAAGAGCACTTGAAAGCATCTTATAAGTGGAATTCCATCTAGTTGGGACATCCTGAACTAAGGCCTTTTTAGAATCAAGGGATGTTTGTGCTATGCATTGAGTAAACTTTATTTTTCTCACTTGAGAGCCCTTCACATATTTCACACATTCCCTTATTCTATCCATTGAGACATCAATTTCTTTCAAACCATCTTGCACAATCAGATTTAGAATATGAGAACAACACCTCACATGAAATAAAATGCCATCATGCACCAAAGCACCTTTCAACTTAAAAGCTGATTCTTAAGTATGTGAACACAAGAATCATTTGTAGAAGCATTATCCAAAGTGATGGCGAATAATTTCTTTTCAATACCCCAATTACTAGCCAAACTATAATTTTTTTCTGCTAGAGGAACTCCACTATGAGGAGGAGGCAAATAAGAAAAATTCAGAAATTTTTTTTGCAGCACCCAATTATTATCAACGAAGTGTGTGGTCAAACTCAAGTACCCAGCAGTAACTACGGAGCTCTATGCATCAGAAGTCAAAGCAATTCGACTAGGACATAATTGTAGTTCAGCCTAAAGTCCATCAACTTCTTTAGCATGCAATTTTTTTATATCTACCTTAGCGGTGTTTCTAGTAATATGTTTAACTTGTGGTTCCAAATATGAACATGCATTTTTAATTCCCTTATATTCGACAAATGAAAATGGCAATTCATGTCTGATGATTGCATGCATCATTAAATCTCTAAATTTCTCTTGACTAAACTGAGAATTTCTTGTGGACAAAGCTCCTCAATCAGCAGTAAGAAGATATTGACCAATGTCTTTAGTTGTCATTTTTTTACATTTTTTTTATATGTCGAAGGAGGTTACCAGTCCCCTTTTTAGTCCCTGCAGAGTAGATACGCTAATATTTTTTGCATTTGCACTTCAATTCCTCATTTGGCTTTGGAGTTAGGATGGTAAAGTAAGCCCAAACTTCAGAAGTTAGCTTCCTCTTTTTCTTTTAAGTCCTAACATTGAGACTGGCTCCTCATTTCCATTGTTTCTTCAATGCTGTGGTCACTACCACTATCATCATCCACTTCAAGTGGATTTGGATTTGTATCACTTTCATCCATCTGTTAACCAACAAATAGATATACATATCATTGCCAATTCAAGTTAAAATATTTCTCTTATTACAGTAGCAAATCGGAATCCATCTTTACAAATATTAATCACACAAGGCTGTGTACAACCCAACAAATTAAGAAGGAAAATATTGAATCATAGAGAATGTTGACAGGTTGTCGAAGCCTGTGCAATAACAAATACCTGCTCAACTGAAGTTAATTTCTGTAGATAGTGGTAAGCAGGGTCGAATTCACAGGGACTGGGTGTAACTGTTTCTTTTCAAATTCACAGTAACAAAGGGAGTGTTTTTGTGCAGAAGGTGACAATCAAAGAAATTCAAATAAAATCTAAGAAACTACTAAAAATTAAATAACAAATTACTAAAATCAAATGGGTGATAATTAAGGATCTAGTCAAGAAATAACTTCAGCATTGGTTCACCTAATTGATCATTGAAACAAAGGCAATTCCAATTATTTACTAATAAATAGGTTATAACTGCCAAACAAGCGATGACAGTCAACTCCTCCTTTCTGTGTCGGTGATTAAGGTACGCCCGTTAATCACTATTCTAATTGAGGAATAATCTTAGGTACGCCCGTAAGATTTAATTCCCCAATTGCCTTACGTATTAGATGAGCCCTATTCTAACCAAATAACGCACTACCAGGGTTATTTCAGATTAGCCCGCGTATTCCCCTGACATAAACCCAATCATGCCAGTTATCACTATTTTGAGATAATTAAACAATTACGGATTTAACGTCCCAATTGATAATAAGTTATCAAATTAACTAATTATCCGAATCCAAGACAATCAATTAATTAAATAATCATAAGCACTACAATCAAGAAATATGCAAATACCAGTAAATAAAAAAAAAGATAAAATTAAATCGATCTCACAATTTTTAGATGAACCAAACCCTTCGTTGTTCCTTGACTAGAGAAAGGGGTTTAGCTCATTATTGATGAGAAAACCCATGCAAAATCGAAGCATCAGTCGTGGCCATAGTCTAGAAATTTAGGAAACTTCAATTCGGTTCAAGGAACAAAGAGAAGTAAAGTTACATAGGATGATTTAGTCTTCCATGGCCCTGACTCACGTAGGAGGCAACCACCCAAAGGGAAAAGTCAAAAGGAAAGCTGAACTAAAAGTCCTGCCATACGAGAAGGAAAAGCTATCAAAGAAAAGTCAAAACTAAAGCTTCCAAGTAGTCCCCTGTGCGGCGGCTCTCCTTCCGGAGAGGAAGAAGCCTCTGGACGCTTCTCCAGGTTTGCTTTCTTTTCCTTTTTTTAGTTGTTGTCTTCGGTCAAAATTATCAAAAAGGTCTTGCATCTTCTTGTTTCAAGAATGCCCTTAATTGTCTGCTATTTGAACTCTTTTCCGATGACTGTCAAATTGGTCTTGATTGTGGTATTTTTGTTCTATTCCCTAAAATAAATGTAAATTACGAAAATTGCATAGAATCTAATAATTAATCCACATCTGGTCAAGTAATAGAGAAAATTAATAATAAAATCGTAACCTATCAAATGTCCGTAAACAATCTGAATCATGGGACGGAAGTCTGGAGTCCATTGTTATTTATTATTCCAAAAAGCCTCTTCAAAATCTCTAGCAAAAAATCAAAACAGGAAAAATTTCCATTTTCTAGTCCAAATTTATATAATTTTCACAAAATGCATGAGGTGAAGGAAATCTAGAATGTTTAACTTAAGCAATTAGAGTATAAAGATGACTGCTATGACTTCATCAGTTCAACTATACAACTCATAATCACTAAAAAGGAAAAAAAAAATGAAAAGCACATAAATAATTGAACACCTTCTCAGCTTCTTCAATAATATTTCTGAAATCTAATTCTTTGAATTTGTCTAGAGTGAAGAGAGGGTTAGAAGGTCTGTCAACTCACCAGTGCAGTCGGTCAGATTTCGAAGATAGAAGCTATGCTCGGAGAAGAAGAGCCACAAGCACGTCGTTGACTACTAAGAAAAGCCACTAGCTTGCCAGTCAATTTTTTTCCTTGTTGGCCAGCTTTGCTAGTCAGAACTCACAAGTGCGGCATCAAGAGGGAAACGGGGCAAATGACCGCTACTGAGCTGTTAATGGCCATGATTTGGCCTCAACAAATTGTGCGGTCCAGTTCATAAATTATGCATCGATTTTCACATTGTGTGTGGGATCTACAAAATTTTGTACTAAAGTTACACGTTGTACAAATAAAGTTATACCATGTGCAATCAAAATTATGCGCAGTTGAAAATGGCCAAAACTGTTGGGGACGGTTGCGTCCTCGTCCTAGTTACAAGAAAGTGGGATGTTGTGACCCTTATTGCCTCCCAGAATCTGAGAGGTACATGCGTCATCCTTGCCCCAGTTATCGGAAGAAAAAGAGGTCTTCTACACCTTATATTGCCCCTGAGATCATCTTCAATGTTCTTGTCTTCCTTCCCGCTGATGTTCTTTACAATGTGATGAGGTATGTGATGTCTGTCGAGAGTGGTACAATATAATCTCTAGTTCTACTTTCATTGATGCACACCTCCAAAAGGCAGAGAGGGGCATTCTGATCAAGCAAAATTGGCCAGATTGTTCTCTTCAATTTGTGCAAATGGTCAAGCATGATTGTCCTAAGTTAAGCAAGGTACACTTGTCTGGCTTTTCGAACTATATTTCAACCAGCTGTAACCGAATGACACTAGGAGGTTTAAGGAATTTGGAGCCTATATTTTTATATTTAAAAAGCCAATAGCTACCGGAGGGTTTCTCCATTGGACACATGACATGCTTCCTTTGAATCTTAATTTAGATCTTGAAACTGAGACTTTATGCATGTGTACGGCCCCAGAATGTGCAGAGATGAAACACAGGAGATATTTAGGAACTGGGAGTACGCTTCGTATAATGGATCGCTTGGGGAAGTTTCTGTGGGGGCTCTGGGTGCTAAAAGACGCAGAAACTGGAGAATGGACTAAGGTGGCCTGTTTGGATCTGAGACCTCAAGAGCAAATGCTTCGGTCCAGTTTATGTCCGCCAGGGTTTCAACTTTTGCCTGTCGGTTGGTTAAAAGATGGACAGATTGCTATCCTCTGCATTGAATATGAAGATGGGATTGAACGTCAAATTGGTTACCATGAGCAGACACATCCAGCGAGAAATTGCATTACGTATAATTTTGCTACAGGAGCCGTTAACTCATTTCAACTGCGTAAGGGTAGACCTGACGATATGCATCAGAGTACCAAATATATTCCTTGTGTGAAGAGCCTGGTTTCTCCGAGATTTGCAGCTACCTAGTAGTTAATTCTCCTTATATTCTGCAAAACTTGGGATGAGAAAGACATGGAAAATGGATGTTGTTGGAATTGGATCATTGGTGTTAGGTGACGTCTTATTGGTATTGGCATTGGTATTGGTGTTTGACTTGGTTTATCTAACTTGAGGTGATTTTGAAGGATTAATAAGTTACTGAAATGTTAAAATCAGCCTACAATAATAAAGGAGTATTTGATGCTTTCTTTTGCTTACATAGAAATTTGCCTTTCGAATAGCAACTGGAAAAGGACACACTGGAAAGGATGATAATAGCTTTCTTCAGCTAAGCCACATAAGTCACAAGTAGATACCATTCAACATTTATGACCCAAGGCCTTTTAAATGATCATTTCTGGCATCATTCTCTCAGTCTATCATAGGGAACAAAGCCTGTGTATTTCAGAAAGCAGGGAGTAGAAAAATTGTAGTCATCATAGGAAGGAAAAAAAATCTAAAAGAAGCTTTTATGAAGCAGTGAACTCCGTGCCAGATCCAGAAGCAAGCGAGGTTACTCATCATTTTACCTGTTTTGCTCCCTGCGAAAACAAAAGGCAAGAATTACGCCTGGTTGGAATTAACTCATCATTTCTTCTCCAAGGAGGCAGTGTGAACGCAAGGATGCACTATTTAGAGTCCAAATTCTCAAGAAACTTCTTACGATCTGTGTCAATTAGCAAGAAAAGTAGTTCCGATTTTTGCAATCTGGCCGTGAATGCTGCAAGGGAAGTTGTTCCCCAACACTAGCAGTTTCATATCTGTCTTCCTTCATTGTAAGATTCACTCTAGTTCCCTTGTTGTAGCATTTAGACATTTAGACCTAGTCCTAGCTTTAAGATACTATCAAATACTACTCATTTGGAATTAAATCCAGTTATAAGTGATTCATGTCTTACTACCATTCAAATAAAGGTATTTTATGTTTCAGTATTAAGATGTCTGAAGGAAAGATGTGAATTTCTGAGTAATGTTCGTGCATACCTTTTATTGCTCTGGGATTTGTCCTTGCTCAGCCTGGAGTGGAGAATTTGTCAGAATAAAGAAAAGTGAGCATCTAGAGTGGGGGATTTGTTATCAAGAATAAAGAAAAGTAAGTAAACAATATGGACAAAGAAAGAGCAACAGAAAACCATGTACCTGAATTGAGTCTCTCTCCCGTTTAAGTGCATCGATTTCCAACCTAAGCTTCTCGACTTGCCTCAACGTCCTATAACACCAAAATTAGTAACATGCCATGCCATGCCATATTTATTTTTATGTGTCCCAGTGTCCTTTACAAAAAAAAAAAAAAAAAAAAAAGGAAGAAGAAATTATTACTCTGCATTTGGGGCGGCTTCATCTGAGGGGAGATAGATCCTGTCGTTATTGTATTCGACAGGAAAGGTGGCTAAAATCCTCCTAACTTCTTCATCGAAATCAACGTGGCTTAGCTTTGTTTGGGCTACACCGAAACTTGTTTTGATTCCACAAACCACCTTCTTCGCCAGCTCTGATACACTTAGAGGGCAAGAGGGAGTTGGAAATCTAGAAGGACAAATTGGGAAACCAAAGACTCCAGAAGCCGGCGACCATAAATAGAGTTACTGTCAGTGTCCATAAGGACGTCTTGAATAAGTTCCTTCAGCAACATCTCTTTTTCCCTAAGGGTGCGTTTGTTTCTACAGAATTGAAATTGAATTGGAATTGGAATTCTATAGAATTAGAATTCTATGAATTGGAATTCCAAAACATTGGAATTCTTTTGTTTGGATAATGCATAGAATTGATACAGAATTCATTTGGAATTCCAAATTCTTTGTTTGGATGGGAGAAGAATTCATTCCCATTCCCACTTTTCATTCCCATATCAAAAAATATTGATTACCTGAAACCATTCCCACTTTTCATGCTCGTAACCTTCCATTTCCGTTTCAGGCTGGATAAGATAGTGTCTCCCCAATTTTATGATAGCACATAGAACTATATTAAAGTATCGACTAACTGTCTCACCTGATCTTATGAAATTAAAATTGACAGTGCGATTCTTGAAGTTATGAGCAAGAACATAGAGAAACATTGCAACTGCTTCTTCAACAGTAATATTTCTAGTATCCCTCAACCCACAATGCTCTCTTAAATTTGTACATAAAACAGTAAAACAATGTTTATTGAGTCTAAGTTGCTCTGCACAAACTCTATTGTTTCCATAGTAAAGACGCCTTAGATATATTTCACGTGCTACTTTAAAGTCCAAGTAAGGCTCCTTTACTATATGTTTCTCATGCCACCAAACTACTAATGTGGCTACTGTTACCATATAATTTGCAACTACCACTTTTCTCTTTTTTGTTTTTTGCTCGTCTCCTTCCTTATCCATGTCAATATCCAAATTCTGCAATTCAAAATCACGACAACAATAAGAAAAGGCAAGTCAAAAGACCAAATTTTAAAAAGTGAGTGTGTTAAATTCTACATAGTCAATTGAAGCTAAAATGATAGCTAATGAAACCTCTGACATAATAATCTGCAATAATATTTTTGCCTTTCCCGAAATATTACATTTACAGCTTGTGAATACAACTATTGACAGAAACAAATATATTGGCTTATACACCTTTAATACTTTAGAGATCGCTTAGGAATTAGCTACAATTTTGTAATTCATTAGTTTGTGCAAGTTGTTGGTAAACATAATTAGCTACAATTTTTTTTCACGCAAACTGTTTATGCTTTATTAGGATGTGTTAAAACTTTTGTGAATATGAAGACTACTTCCTCGGTAAGAAAGTGAGTTCCAATTTGTTAGCTACTACTAAGAGCAAAGAATATGCAGTATAAAAGGTTTAAGCTATGTTGATCTTTAAGTAAAGCATTTTTCACCTTTTTTCTTAATATACATTTCAGCAGCCATTGGCCAGGAAAGTTGATAATTAAGCTCTAAGGCTCAGAGAACTAAATTCAGCACTCCCTCATTTTCTCTCCTCTATCTCACACAACACACACACAAGAGAGAATTAATGGAGTAGATCCAACATTTCAGTCATGAGCATCCCTTGATATTGAGCAAACTCAAAGACGATGAATTCTCTGATGAGAAAATTAGTCGTTGCAGAGGCTGTTCACTTAAAATTTTGCCAGGATCAACCTTTTATTCATCAATATCTAGGTATGTTCTTCATATTACACACCATCCACCATAAGAAACAAAAGGGATCACAAAATTCCATTCAAATACAGATCAACCAGAATTTCATTCAACAATTTACTTGTCTAAAGACAAAACAACACAAAAAATTCAACAAGAAAACACTAACAAAAAGGTTCCCTTTTCATATCATGATTAATCCTTTCAACTTTTACAGTATGAGCTCTCCAATTTTCATCAAAGTTCAAGGGAAAATAATCAATCAAGTGACAGTGGACAATCAGAGCAACAATGGAATACAAAAGTTAGTCTATGCCTATCTTCAACTCCTATCCTCCTCAATGTACTATCGACAAGAAGAAACCAAAAAACAGAGAGCTCAAAATTCACCACGATCAGGGGCAGGACAATTTCCATCAACTTTTTTCTTCTCAAGTTTCATGAAAGTTGTTTACTTCTAATCAAAGTTGATTTTTCCAAAAGCCTCAGAATCAATAAAAAAATGTCCAAGTTCCTAATAAGTACTCTCAAATCCTATGAGTCAGGCATTATCCCGAATGGGTTCCAAGACAAATTTTGACTAATTAACTAAAACTCAAACAAACAAGAAAATGGAAACCAAAGACCAACTTGTTCTTTTGTTCTCATAACATCGTAAATTACAAGCTTAAAATAATAATAATAATCGCATAGAATCAATCAATACCACAAATTATCAAAAAAATACCTTAAAAAAATAATATTTAATAGAAAAAAATAAAATTATGAAGTTACCTTTATATACTCTAATTCTATCTGAAAAATCTGGAATAGTAGGGAGTAAATTACAAAGCCATGTCGTTCTCTCCTGATGCTAGGGAGAGACTGCTAATAATAGAGACTATTCCTCGTTCTCTCCTGAACAAGTATCAGCTTCAAGGAAATAACGAAGAAGTTGGGCACTTTTGTTTGTCCTTGGACGCTAAGATGGAATTGATCAATGAATTTTGCCAAATTGGTAATGAAATTTCATTCTTCACTCATCGAATCAATTCTCAATTCATTCACTGGAAGGGAAGGGGAAGGCTGACAGAAACTAATTAAAACCCCATAATTTCAACCTGTGTTATGCAGTGGCCAGCACAAGTGGAGGAGGCGGCGGCAGGAATGCTCCAACAGAGCATTAGATATGGCGATCGATAATGGGAAGAGAAGAGAGACGTTTGAGTTTTTTCCATCAATTTTATAGTTGACCCATTTTTTAGATTTTACCCGTAAAAGACCCGCGTATTGACCCGATTTAAGAGTTCAAGCGTGGAATTGGAATTGGAATTCTTTGGTCCAGCCAAAGAATTGGAACTACGGAATTCGATGGATTTAGAATTGCAATTCAATTCTAATTCTATAGGAAAAATAATATCCAAACACAAGAATTGGAATTGGAGCCCCAATTCCAATTCTAAACCCCAATTCTACGGAGAACCAAACGTACCAAGAGTGTTTGCCAGTCTTGATAAACTAAGTAGTCAAAATACAACAAAACATGAGTTAGTTATTGGTCAATTAATTAAGGACAAGTGCAGAAACAACAAACGTGTTGGAGGGCTGCAGTGATCATAAGTGGGGAATATATCACTTTAAGAGAGGAAATTACCGTGTGTTTGGACTTTCTGGATTTTCACCTCCCCTGTCCATGCCACCCGGAAAGTCTCCCCTGGAGCTGCCACCCAGAAAGTCATGTGACCTAGGCAATTCATTGAACAAATATGCTAAGGGCTGCAGTGATCTTAAGTGAGAGCAATCTTATCAATTTAATGTTCCTAAAAAGCTATCATATAATTTTATTACAATATTGGAACAGAAGTACACACAGTGGCATAACATTTGCATTAATCCTGCTGCTTTCTTCAATATTACGAGCTATACCTATGCCTTTCTACTTTTGTTACAGAGTAGCGTTCTAGCACTGGCAGTACCATTGTCCAAGATCTAAGGTCATTTTGGACAAGCCTTTTCTTGGCAGTTTTTTGGGTTCAAGAAATGCATCTCTGCACAGGTGTTACTAAGGGAATCAGGGGCAAATTTTGGGACACTACAGAGCAAAATATTCGCTTCTATCAACTCAGGTTTTTATGACAGATACGCCAATTCAGCTCACACCTACTCAATTTGGATCAGGGTATGCCCTACATAGAAGACTAGCGAATGATAATTTTATATAACAACAAGACGTATAAAAGAATAGTAAAACTTACATTGACGTCCTCATATCCACACCCAGGGGTGATGTACTGCTATGCCCTTGTCTAATAGTCTCGTCAGTATCTCTCCCCACCTCTTGCATTGTCTGAACTCGTACTCCTCCTATAGGCTCAAAACTCTCAAATTGTGACTGTTGTGGCTCCCTCATCTCCATATTATGAGAGCTATTAGGAATTGTGCCGTGGCCAATATGCTCGAATCCCTCATCCATTCTGCCTCTCATAGCCTCGTTTGCCCTACAAAACAATGTGGCAGAACAGTTTGAAGAAAGAGAGCTTAACATTTCAAGAAATGCCCCAATATTTAACCCATTTAGTTTCTACAAAAACATATTTAGCATGGAATTGATGTCAACATGACTAATTAATTATCTTACCCAGTTGGACTTCCAGCGACAGCATTATTCTCCCCCTCATTAATGTTATTCTCTGTGTCATTTGCACCACTTTCTTCCCTAGACACTGGTACCCTGTAAGATAATATTGACCAAATTTAAAGAAATGAAAATATAGTTTGGAGAATTTCCAGCAACGCCCCAAACTTGATGAATTGTGTTATTTGTTTGAGTTGAGTTATACATTTATCACAAATCTTACCTACGCCGCCTAGAACTTCTTGTCCTACCTTGCAATGCAGTCAAGACTGTTGCATCTGTATAACTCCTGTAGAAATCATGAAAGTAAATCATAGTGCTAAAGAGATAAAAGTTCTCTACACAAAAAGTGAGTTGATTTGCATATTGATTAGTCGTTATTTACCTTTCCTGCCTACAAGGTCGAAAAGTAATTTCTTTTATCACTAGATTCCCAGAATCAACATCTGGATATTAAAACTGAGTACGTAAGTACAAGTCACAAAGTCCCAAAAGGAAAAAAAAAAGGAAAAAAGAAAGAAACACATCAACATCCAAATTATTCTAACCTAGGCGGGTCTTCTGCCCCAACGCTTTAAGGAGTGAGTTGCCAAAGTCTACAACTTGATCTTTGGTATTCTGATCACCATATCCATCATACTTTGCATTGACTGGTTCCAACTTTTTTCTGTAATACTCCTTTTTGCTCTCAGTCAATGTTACCTCACGCTCGGGGCGCTCTTCAGCAGGCGGTAACTGCATACGCTTGCGTTTCTGGCGTTCTTCTCCCACATTGCCACCTTGTTGCTGTTCTTGTGCTTGCTGCTCTT